ATCCCTACATGTTTTTTCATTGCCCAAGTTTCGTCCTTGGGTTTGAATTCAACCTACCTATCGATTGACTTTTTTTGCATTTCACGAATGGAACTCATTCGTAATCTACCTATTTTTACGCAAAATTTTGAAAACTCCTTGGGATGTATGATAAATCTTTAGGAAAATCCGGAATTCCTTGGGAAGTCCGGGTAGTCTCTGGGAATTCCTCAGGTAGTCCAAGGAATTCCAGGTAGTCTTTGGGAATTCCTAGGAATTCCTTGGGAAGTCCCAGGAATTCCGGGTAGTCTTTAGGTAGTCCCAGGAATTCCGGGTAGTCTTTGGGAATTCCTAGGAATTCCTTGGGAAGTCCCAGGAATTCCGGGTAGTCTTTAGGTAGTCCCAGGAATTCCGGGTAGTCTTTGGGAATTCCTAGGAATTCCTTGGGTAGTCCCAGGAATTCCGGGAATTCTTTCAATAAAGGAAGTCTAGTGTACCCAATTTCAGCCCGTGATTTACCCCTCGGATGTTCCTCATTGATAATCTTATGGAAACCAGTAATGGCATGTAGAAGACGTCGTTTTTTTATGAAAAGCCAGCTCAGAGATGAAATATATTCAGTGATATGATCAGATCTACGCAAGCCCCAGATCAGTCGAGTGCAGTTGATTTGAATTTTTTGAATTCGATAACAGGCAAAGGAGTCGATTCATGGACCATATACTATATCGCAATAGTTGAAATTAAATAAAACTAGTTGATCAAACATTTTTTTTTTTCAAGAGATATAGTAATCGTCGACTTGAGTACAGCAATTTGAGATACCCGTAAGCACGCTGAATTAATTTTGCTGACCTGTTCCGTGAATTTCCAATTAGAGTCAATAATTAAACCTAAATTTTTGGTTGCCGATACTAGTGTTGATGAAACACCTCCTATGAATATGTTGATATCATTCTTTACCCGATTAATTCGACATTCATTGCCAAATAATAGGTAGGTGGATTTTGTGGGATTATTATGAAGATCGAGATGAAGATCATGTTGCTTTACGCATCTTCGGGATAAAAACTACAATATAATTGGCTATCATCAGCATAGAAGTGGCTTTCACAGTCCGACAGGCAATTAGATAATTCAGCAATATATACAAGGAATGAAAGTGGTCCCAGAATCGATCCCTGAGGAACAGCATTATGCAATTCGAGGGATTGAGATTCACTATTGTTATTCTTAACCGAGTTCTTAACTATTCGACTTCTTCCACTCAAGTAGCTTTGAAAGAAACTTTATGCTGTCAAGTTCAACCCCTAATATTTCAGCTTAGAAAGTGAAAGTTGGTGGATGGATATATGTTTCAAAGGCATGTTGAAACATTGTATTTTATCGAACGATAACTGTGCCAATCACTATCCTGAGCGCTTTCCTGTTCGTTAATTTGCACTCAATTTTGCGATTTGATATCGAGATAAGGATTATGACATCCGATACCAATTGATAATGTTCCCATCGCGAAACTCCAAACGTGCCGCGATTCACGGCAGAGCGTCGATATTTCTGATCTGAGAATATTTCGCCCTTGTCGAAAGATGATATCCGATGGACCAGTACAAGTATTCAAATTGAGATTCATATCGTATGTTGTTTTACACCATTCGATGCCATTTAAATGGTAGATCTCAAAACCCGTCAAAAACCTACCTGTGTCACACCCCTTAATCTGAACCAAATCCACGGCACAGCCATTTATTTGTCATCCGGACATACAGGGTGCTCCTCTTAAAATGGAATTCTCCTCGGAATTCTCCCTTAACTCTTTCGTTTTCAGAGATACGAAAAAATGCTGAATAAAAAAGTTGTGTCAACTTTTATTTCGTGAAGTTGTTTCATATACAGGGTCATTTGTTCTTCCAGTAAGAACATCAACTTTGATTTTTTCCATGGAACACCCTATATAGTTTACGACACGTCAATAGAGCCTTTTTTTCTGATTTCCAAAATATATATGAATTGCATATTTGGATGAGAGATAATTGAGTTATTAACGATGAAATCGAGGGGTTAATCTCCAGGAAAAATGTCTACACCAGACTTCCAATCAACATAGACTTCCAAAGACTTCCAAAGACATCCACAGACTTCCAAATACTTCCAAAGACTTCCAAAGACTTCCAAAGACATCCAAAGACTTCCAGAGACATCCAAAGACTACCAACGACTTCCAAAGACATCCAAAGACTCCCAAAGACTTCCAAATACTTCCAAATACTTCCAAAGAATTCCAAAGAATTCCAAAGACTTCCAACGGAGTGTACACCAGACTTCCAAGGAGATTTACCCCTCGGATGAAATTTACCAAAATACCGCAGTATGAACCTTCAAGTTGAATATAGTGGGCTTTGAAATAACGTTTATATATTGTTCAAGCTCCATGAAGATGGCATGATATTTATTTATTATGAAATTGAAATCATTCAATCTCAATACAAAAAACTATGAATAGACAGTTTGAATCGAAGATTCGGTATTTTGGTAAACTTTGATAATGATTAATTCAATTATTTTTCATTCAAATATGCAACTCACATATATTTTAGAAATCAGAAAAAACGGTTTTAACGACATGTCAGAAAATATAGGGTGTTCCTTAAAAACGAATGACCCTGTATATGAAGCAACTTCTCGAAATAAAAGTTTGGGTCGCTTCAAACAACTTTATAATTCAACATATTTTCACATCTCTGAAAACAAATGAGTTGAGGGGGGTACATTTTAATAGGCGCACCCTGTACCTACTTCCGTCATGTCTATGGTCATGTGATAACGAGTTGAAACAAAAAGTAGATGAAAGGGCATAGCTCTGGGGATAATGTCCCCTTTGCGAATATCCCAACATGCCACGATACAATAAACTGATCTAAGTTGGGGGCAGAGCTCGGGGCAGAGCGTCAATACTTCCGAGAATATTTTTCCCTCTTCTAAAGATAATATCCGATGAACCAGTGCAATACTCTACATGTGGATTTGAATGCTTGTAGTGCGAGCACCAATGGCACCATGAGTTTCACACTGGTCCATCGGATATTATCTTTCGAGGTGGGCGAAATATTCTGGGAAATATTAACGCTTTGCGAGTAGCTCAGTTTGAATCACGACACGTTTGGATATTCGCGAAGGGCACATCATCCCCTTACATTTGCTTTTTGTTTGAACTCGTTATCACATGACGGAAGTATGTCCGGAAAAATGGCAGCAAATAAAACGATGTGCCTTATAGACTCAACTCAGATCAAGGGGTAGCACAGATAAATTTTTGAGATCCACCATTCAATTGGAATCGGATGGCATAATTCTCATCTAGTTATCAAATCGCGAAATTTTGTGTAAATTACCGCACAGGAAAGTGCAATTTTTCAATCATTCTGCTCATGATAGTGATTGACACAGATGCCGTTCGATAAAATACAATGTATATTTACATGCCTTTGGAAATATTCGAGGAACTATTACATGATTATTAAATCACCAACATCAGATTCCAGATTGAACAAAACGACAGATCTATTAAAGAGATAACATATATCCATATGGAGATAATTTTCATCAGCAATAACGTTTTATGAAATTTGACACTATAACGTGTATAGACTTTATATCGAGCTTTATATAAATTTGTGAATAAAACATCCTCTGGATATGATTTGCTTTTGTAAGCAGAGAGCGAGAGAGAGAGCTTTCTATAAAGAAGTGGCAATGCAATGGCAAAGGGTCGGGTATAAATATCTCCCTTTTCATGTATTTGATGTATTTTGAAAAAATAATTCGTCATGGTAATCTCTGCTATCATTCGAGCTATCATTCCATCACTAGCAATACCAAAATACCAGTCGAACATACTCACATGCCCAGTCAGCACATCATTTTGTTGTCAGCCTCGAAATATGTGGAACAACCTCGGGAACAACTCTTTATCAAAACTCGTTTATTGTCTATAGGGCGGCAAAGCTTTGGAATTCTTTGCCAAAAGAAGAATTCCCAAGAACTTATAATCTCTACAACAAGAATTTTGTGGAAATCTTGTCGTTTGTGAGGTTTTTGCATTTGTCATGGATTTCCATCAAGTAACGGCCGACTCAATTCAAAAAATCTCTACAACAGTCAAAAAAAAATACCTACCTTTCTCTCCCTATCCACCCTACGTATACATGATGTTCCACGAACATTATATAGGGATTGTCTTTCGTGCGCTCTCGATCAGAGATAAAAAACATGTACCTACCATATCACACCCTGTATAATGTGTGAAAAATAAACTGAAATATAATAATTATATGTATATGTGATATAATTTTCTAACCTTTCTGAGCCTGATAACTTCTTGAGTTTCTAGAGTTGAGGGCCGGTGAGCAAATATTTCTTTACCGGTCTCTCGGTTTCTTGATGGTTCAAATTGTTGATAATCCAAAGATTTCGGCTGTTTGTATTGTGAATGAACGGCCATCGTCTGAGCAAAACAACTTTTGTAACTTCTGTTTTCAAATTCACCACTCAAATCGAATTGTACTTTATCGCACATTTTCGGTTGTTTTTCACATTCACGATGAATAAACACACGGACAAAAAATACCGTTGAACCAAAAAAGAACAGATGTTTTTTCGCAATGACTGTTATTCCTTTATTACGATGAATGGTACGTTATTTTATAACTTTTCTTGAGATAACGAAATTCACGAATACTCTAACTCATTATCCTACAGTTGCAGCTGGACCACTGACTTCTTTTATTCTTTGAAAGGTTTTTGATACGCGCCAATGAGCACAGCCATGCGCATGTGTCGACAATGTCCACCATCCAGGTGTATGTTGTATTGTGGGTTGCTAGGTTACTGAACTCAGTGAATAGAGCATAATCATCAGCTCTACCAACCTTGAATAGTGATGTACCTAGCGACATCTGGGAATAAACAGTGGAATCAGGTTCTAGGTTTTCACAGTTTTGACACTTTTGACATGAATTTATAACCTAAACACCTAAAACCAAATATTTTGATTTTTTATCTGGAACATTGGATAGTTTTGAAATGTTTTGATCAATTTCATGAGTTCTTGAGGAATGTTGTGTTTAGAGAATTTGCAAACTGTGTTTACTAATGCATATGTAATGACCTGGTAGACATTTTATAGAATAAATTATTAATATCCATATTTTTCTAATGAAATCCTTTTTTAGTTGAGATTACTCATTAGGAAGTTTTAATTTGAAAATGGAAGGCTCTTCAAACCCCATCAATTTAAAAGAGGAAGACTGTGAAGTTGAGAAAACCTTTTCAGAACCATTTGATTTGGATCTAACAGTTCCAAATGACAAACCTTTATCTCCTGTTCTGATGTCCAGAAATTTGAACAGGAAACAATTGTTTGGAATGAAAACCATTAACCGAAAAAGCAAAAGCAGGATGAGGTTGAATGAACGTTTTGAAGAAAGTACCAAGGGGAGTATAAAATTGGATAACAGATTGAAAGATGAACAGGTTGATACAAAATCTCAGTTCTCTGAACAAGATTTCACTCTTAGCCAAACTGAGAATATATTAAGTTGTTTGGATAGACTGGAAGAAATTCAGAGAAACAGAAAGCAAGCATATAAGCTAGTTGTTAGTTCAAAGAATGGTGATTTTTGTTTCAAGAAACCTATTTCACCAGCACCAAAGAAACTCAAGGGCCCACATACTGTTTCAGAGAACAATACGTCATCAGAATTTAATAGGTCTGAAACAAGTGTCTTAGAAAATGAGGAAGAAAATTATATGGACAAGTTTGTGTCACTTGATAAAGATCCCACTGAATTTGTAAAATGTACAGGATTTCAAACTGCAACTGGAAAAGCCATCTCCATTTCTGAATCAGATATTAAAAAACATGCAGATCTCTTTGATGAGAGTATTGCAAGAAAAAATAAGTATAATTTCCTGGCTAGAAATAGGAATTGCAGTACAGAGATCTCAGGATTTTCTAAGGATACTTTGATTCCAAAATCAATTCCTGATGGTAATGAGAACATTTCCTTGACACAAGAGATTTGTGAATCTGGTATTAGTAATACCCAAATGATGGTTGCTGCAGAAACTATATTAAATCAATTTTATTCAGAAATAAAAACCACACCAAGTAAAATTTCTCCCACTGATGAATTCAAGGAATTCAGAGGTTTTAATGAAATTGAGATTTCTGAATCAAGTGATCTCATGAACAATTTTAATGACATTTTGAACAATATTCAATCAGTGAACAATAACATCTCAAATAAAAGAGTTTATTCTGTTCTAAATGATGATCATAATTATCCCCAGAGAAAGAAACTGAAACAAGACATTCCAGATCAAAGTGTTCCATGTTCCAGTGAATATCTAATCAGTGAAGATAGAACAAATTCAATGTTAGTAGGTATGAATGAACCTCTTGGATTCTCATGTGCTTCTGGGAAAATAATTTCAAGAACTTTAAACAAAGTGGAAAACTCATTTCCTGATGATAAATCTATTAATTCAAGTAACCACAACATTGCTGTAGAAAAAAAATCTGAAAACACATTGAAACAAAATTCAGTAAAAAATAAATTGAAGTTTTTTGATGACCTAATTGGGGATACTGAAAATGTTTCAATTGGCTTTCAAACTGGAAATGATATAGGATTCAGTAGACCTTTAGGAAATTCATCAGGATTAACATCTTCCATCAAACCTCTATTGAGGAATGGTGAGGAAGAAAAGCCATCAAATGGTGTGAAAAATAAACTGGCATTTTTTGATAGAATGCTAGATAACACTGAATTTGATGATATGCCAATTGCAAATAAAAACAAACATGGTTTCTCTAGTGCATCAGGAAGGACAGTCTTCTCCCACATTCAGAATCTCAAGCCAACAAAAAATTCTCCAGTTACTGCACAAGAAGATTGTAAAAATAAACTCAAAATGCTTGATACTGGTATAGGCATGGCAGAGACAAATAACAATATGTCTCCTGCTCCTGCAAGCACTTTCATGAGAGGGTTTTCAACAGCTAGTGGAAAATCATATCTATTATCTGAGAATGCATTGAATAAAGCTAGTGCTTTATTCAATGATTTGAATGATGATTGTGAAACTAATACCCCCCAGAAACATCTTCCAACTGCTACAAATCTGCAAAGAAAAGAAACATATGATACCCCAAAAAGAAAAAAACCATTTGAATCCCTCAGTGCTAAAAGAAGCAACAGAAAGCTAGGAATAGCATCTTGCAAACCTCTAGCAATTTCTGCAGAAAAACTGAACATGGCAAAGCAAATGTTTGAAGATGAATTTTGCAGTGTTTCACCTATCAAGCCAATACAAAATATTTCTAATACATCTACACCCCTTCAAAAACACTATGGGACCCCCATTAGGACTAATGTTGCTACAAGAAGTTTGAAAACATTCACTAGTGAAACTCTCACTGCCACTGAAATGATATTGGAAGATCATGATGATGTTGAATACAAGCTTGCTGAAGACTCTGTAGTTACATTTGTTGATAGTGAAGACAAAAGTGGTTTGGATTTGGCTGGGGAATTGGAAAATGAATGTAAAAGGCTAGAAGTGAGGCTGAGAATTGTAAAGGAAAGACACAAGGCACTTGCTTCTCTGGGAGATATAAAGATGGGCATGCTTAAAAAGTGAGAAATCATGTCATTGTTTGTTGTTGTTTCTAGTTTAGTCATTTTCTAGGCCCTGTCCTGGAAAATTATATGAACAAAAAGCCAGAAAAGATAGAATTCCAATAGCAACTGTTGTCAATGGTCAGATGAATAGTGGGACTTCTGACTTATTCTTCATTACTCCTCAAAATGCAGTAAATATTCACTTCAAAGAGTAGGTATCAATCAATCAGGAAATTGTTTGAATTTATATTTATTATCAATCTGATGAATGCTTGAATGGCATACAAGTGTATAAGTTATAGCATAGAAAAGACCATGAAATATATATATGAGGAAAAACACGGAAAAACATATGTACCTACCTAATACAAGATCATCAAAATTATTATCAAAAATGTTCAGTAGTAGTACTAAAATTGAAAAAAATACAAGAAAAAAATCAAGTACTCCACTTTAAAACAATTTAAATGATTGAACTCTGCATGATTGTGCCAACCGCATGGAAATTTGAAGAGAGGTGAGGTCAGATTTGCTACAGTGTAAAACTTTGGGTGGAAAAACGGCTCTAACCTAAAATTTCATTTTCATCACTAATTTTTTTGTTCATTAGTGCCATTCCATAGTACATGTCGAGCTTTCTCAGTGTTTGAAATATTTGCACTTATTTCAATGCCACCCTGTATAGATAGAAATATATATATCAATTGATTGAGTTGATCAGATATAACCCGTGCCTTGGCGGCTTTTTGTCCCATCAACTTTAGACAAGGCTGTGCTCTGATTTTTTTTTGGGGTAGGTTCAAGATGAAAAAGAACTGCTAATTCAACTTTTTTTTACTAAAGGGAAGCAGTCGGATTCAGGCCATTATTTCGGGGGGGGGGGGGGATTACCCTAGCTGTATACCATTCCTTTCATAATTCGTATTTTTCTCTTAGATCTTCTAGTGTTGTTGTTACTCAGGATGGAGCCACTTTGATACCAAATTCTAAAGATCTGATAGGTTTAAGAGAGATTGAAAGCAGTATAAAATGCATGCCCTGTGTAGAAGAACGCCTAATACCAAAAGATTGGATCAGGAACCATTACAAATGGATAATTTGGAAATTAGCCAGCTATGAAAGAATGTTCCCCGCATCATTCAAAGGATATTTGAATGTCGAATATTTGATACAACAGTTGAAGTACAGGTTTGCACAGATTCATATATCTATATAATATCATAAATTTGCAATGAAACTGGATTGAAACCCCCAACGATTTGAATGGTTTAATTTAGTATTATTATTATTAAAATGTGAGAATCGGCTAAGGAGCGAACCTATAAAAGGCCTATTATACATTAAGTAGGTAAATGCTACACATCAAGAAAAATATGAATATACATACAATTACATTAAAATTGATTAGAAAAACAATCAAAATATTAAATGAAAATTGAGTAAGCCAGAGCCGTCTAGCGCCCCATATAAGCAACTATGTACTGAGGTGAATTTGCTTGTTTGTTCAATTTTTTTCGTCGTATAAATCCTTGTATACCGAGTTATACCATATATATACAATTATTATCGAAATTTTCCCACCCTGTATAGGATGCTGTCGAAGTAGTCAATAGCTATGTCTCAAGATCACAAGATGATTATAATAATATAATAATTCAGAGATATTCTCGAATTCAAGACAGTGACCCAAGTACACAAATAACCATCATTTTAGGTATGATCGAGAAATCGACAAGGCTGAAAGACCGGCACTTAAAAGGATATGTGAAAAAGATGATGCTCCACAAAAAAGAATGGTTCTTTGTGTTTCTGACATCAAAAAGGTTGAATCTGGCAGATTCGAATTGGAACTCACCGATGGATGGTATGGCATAAGGACAGTCATAGACGATCCACTGTGTAATCAAGTCCGAAATAAAAAGATCAAAATCGGGACAAAGCTTATAATTTCGGGAGCCGAGTTGATGAATTGCGATGGATGTTCACCATTAGAGGTCATTACCAACAAAATAATTACTTTTTTTTCACCAATAAGTGTATGAATATACAAATTGACAACAGAACTACAAAAATCTATAAATTTATAAACTGACAACAGAAATACACAAATATACAAACAAATTCAAAAATTTACAACTTCACAAATTTACAAATTATAAATTTACAACTTCATAAATTAACAACTTCACAAATTAACATAACAAATTCACAAACTTACAAATCTATTTACTCACAAATGTGAAAGTTCACACTTCACTTTACAAATTTTTACCAATTTTATAAATTTTATTTACAAATCCGAAAACGTAAACATTTACAAATTTACAAATTTACAAATTTACAAATTTACAAATTTACAAATTTACAAATTTACAAATTTACAAATTTACAAATTTACAAATTTATGTTTCTTTGTCGAACCGGAAGTCTGTACAATTCTGGTTTTCAGGTTACCAATTTGTGTTTTCTCAAAATTAACTATAACAGTGTGAGAAGAGCCATTTGGAGTGCCAGGTTGGGATATCAGAGGTTTCCTGGGCCATTTCCAATACAAATTCGTACAGTGCTCCCAACAGGTGGGCCTATTGGGGCTATAGAAATTTGTATAGCCAGAATATATCCTGTTAAGTATTTGGAAAAAATTGACGGTCGAGCAGGTAATTAGAATTATTCTTGAATTTTTTTTTCTAATGTGAGACATAACCGTAAAATATTCAATGATAATAAATAAGGAACATTTACATGGTGATCAAAATCCATCTTCTTCAAAAGATCTACTTCATTGGCCACTATATTGGATGTAGGTATTTTTACATTCAAAATCAATTTTTTAATTTACCAACCCCCCCCCCCCCTATTCCATATCGGGACCAGGTTACACGAAAGACCTGCATTCTCAGAATTATTTTGTTTCACAACACAATAATTGTCCTGCATAAAAACCAACCACTTAAAATTGGTACCAAAATTGAAAAATAAAGAAGTTGTCTTCGTCTGATTCTGATATATTTTTTTTCAATTTTTCAATCCTAGCACATATAGAGTGCAAAGTTGGAAATATGGATTTTGCCATGGCTGTTCCCTTGCAGGGCAGTGTATAACATCAATTTGAATATGTGTGAAGCTGTAATGTTGACATGGATGAACATTTTTTACTACTCAAACATTTGACTAGCTTTCCCAGTTCCACCAGAAGCACTACCAAGAGTTCCAAGTTCCATATTCATAACACTGCTTTTTTATAAATTCGGTTTCATATGAGAATCTCGAGTATGAACTATTCATCATACATAATTCGGCAAATTCGAGAACCTTTCCATGTTCACATACATGAAAATAGTTTACTAACCGTTTGTGTGGGGAAGCACCTATAAAATATTGTGCAATTTAACCCTTTCAGTCACGACTTTTCATTTTTTCAGTTAAAAATTTTTCGTGAAATTGGGGGTTGAAGTGATTTTTTATATGATTTTTGAGAATTTTTTGAAGTCCGTACGGCCTTGATTTTTCTAAAAAAAATCATGTTCGTTTCAACGAACATGGTGACTCTACGAGAAGGAGAGGAAATAAATAGCTACAACATTGTGGTTTATTTCATATGGTAATCCTTGAAATAATTACGATCACGAGTAATACATAGATGTACACTACATTTCATACAATTAAAATGTGTTTTTTCGAGGCAAGCTCCATTTTTGCACTTTGCTCCATCCCCACTTCCATCAAATATTGGTAAATGGCCCACTTCATCGAGTCACCATGTTCGTTCTAACGTACATATGAATTTTCTCGAATTAGTGTATGAAAAAATATGATATTCGATCATTTCGTTTTTTATATATTATAATGAACATATGAGGCATTGAAAAATGAATTTTTGAACTCAAATTGACTTACTATTTTATCAAAACAAACACGAGAAATGTGTTTATGAACAATAACAGCTGACTCACTGTACACACAGATGGTTAATGAGCGAAACTTGTATAATATCCCGAGAGATAGTGCTACCTATATCAGTCATTGGATATAAAGGTCCCTCGCGTCTGATGTGGTGTATAAATGGAATGATAGGTGTCGCCTCAATTTACTATTGGTACGAAAAGTACATGTTCGTTTTAACGACCATGGTGACCGAAAGGGATAAATCTTTTCACTAGGAAATACCTATTATTTGTAATGAAATCAAAAATGAATCAACACATTGACAACATACGACTATATTCATCTTAGTACACACTGTACTTTTGTCCTTGTTTTTACAAATCATTCCGATAATACTTTTCGAATTATGCAATCTTCCTATCGCTATTGGAGTTCTTCACTACCTGTCAGCAACACTGCTACTTCATTTGTCTTTATCACAGTTACAAAACCAACACATTGATTTTGTCAGTATTTTCAAAACTACCTAACCGTTACGTCGTGTCTTCGAGAATACAATAAAAAATTACTGTTAAATGGAACCTGACACAATATAAAAGTGTTTGTACAGTATGCATGATGATTGATCATAAATTCGTGCTATTTTGTTGTGACTAAAACGAAACCAAATATTGTTCCACCCCTTCAGTGTTGCTGTCTGATCTCAAGCATATGAAGTGAATGATAAATGAGTTTATGTCATATTCATTAAATCCATAGCTGTCAGAATTTTCTCAATTTCTCTGATGAAGACAACATAATGAATGATTCTTCGTATTTTTATGTGAATGAAGTTGTACTGGTAGATAATCTAACAAATATTTCGTTTTTCAAATGCAGAAGTTTGCCATGATCCGGTATTAATTTGTCATTTCAACTGTCGGTGCTTGAAAGAGTTTTTGTACACTGCTTTGTTGAGGTTAAAGGTCATGTAAGCTGTCAGAATTTGTTTATTATGGAAATTCATTAAGTATAGATTATAAAATGCGTCTACTTTGTATATTGTCTACCTTTGTTCCTTGAGAAGGTCTCCTATAAAGAATGAGCACACCATACAGGTACATCCTAACTTTACTTCTCATTTATATAATATGTATTCCCGATTCCATGTCATGTAAATGGCAATGACCTCTATCGACAATAGTGCCATCACACGGAAGCCTTATCAAACATATTGCATGCATGGATTTTTCCTATTTCCATTTTTTTTCTTATTCACATTCTGTTATACTACTTCAGTTTGGAGGAATAAAAGATCTGAAGAAAGAAGCGCCCAGGCATGGGAAATCGAACAGTCTCGTAGAATGGAGCAAATCGAAGAAAGAATACGAAAAGAATTCAGCGATGTCAAGGTCGTCGATCGTAAGAAAGCGAACGGTGTTCAAGATATCTCTAAAATAAATAATCCCGAACTGCTCATGGAAATAATCGAAAACAGTAATGATCCTGACAGTATACAGGTACCAATTGTAGATATTTAACTAACTAGTTTATTAATTTACGATTTGGTTACAAAATTTTTCCGTCGACTTCATTTCTCCTCCAATGATTAAAACTTCGTTCGCGAAAGCATCATTCATTTGGAATCACCCAGTAGCCAGGTCAACTGGTCACTGACATTAGTGACATTTGAGTTTTGTTGAAATAATCAACATAAAAAATAAACTCCTTGCGTAAGAAGACGCTTTAGAAATCTGGAAAAACTAACTCGATATTACGTTAAATCTTCGATGAATTCCATATTTTCGATTTGAATGCAGATACCGTTATAGCGTGAACAGTGAATGGACGCGGTGTATGTTTGGTTGCCTTTACAGCAATCATGCAATAATAGACAAATTGATTATTAATAGGGCTCATTAACGATCAACTTTATAAACATTAAGCTATAGAAAACCCCTCTCAAATATAATGCATTCTTCCATAGTGACCTCCACAACAACGACATCAGCGCCATCATACGTTTTGGAAGCCGAACTGATTCGACCATTGACAGACGTGGCGGCAATTTCAAAATTCTATTGGTTATTGACTTTGTATCATTTTGGAGGAATACATGGCACAGAATCGATGAAGTTCAAAAATCATTCCTACATGTTACCTACTGCATTACAATAAAGAAAGACGGACTGTATAATGAACTTAATCGACATTTTGCCATGTATTCTTCCTGAAATGAGCTCATTATGATGTGATAACAACTATGATTGAAAAGAAAACATACATGATTCCAGTAACTTCTTTAATTCACAACTCTATTTTCACAGTTACCTGGAATCTGTGAAGTCCAATAACAACATATTTCCAGTTATTATCAAAGCAATCTCACCTAGAATTTCACTAATCAACATATTTCACTACCACTATTTGGAGCCCACATGATTGTCACTTCATAAGTTTATTGAATCAAATGAAGGATGATACCTATATCATTACATAATATTACTTTGCTAACTGTATTTGAGATATGATTGAATATCTACTGATCCCATTTCACGTAAAAAATAAAAATATAAACTGCACACATAAACAAAATAATGACAAAAGCAGTATTGGCAGCACAAAAATACTGACAGCTGACTTGAAAACTCGACACGACATCATCTATCTGATTACCATCTATAGAATTGGAAGCTTCACAATTTCAGTCGCTTATGACAGTTTCGGTACGGAACATATGATATTATTTCATTCTATTTGAGTCAATACGAGGTCGACGGAAAAATGAATAAGCCGCCGTACTTGTTCTGAGTCCTCAATTGTTTGCAGGAAAAACTTTCCTCGTCTCAAAGGCTAGCCGTTTTAGAACATCGGCAAAAGTCTTTTGCTAGAAAACTGCAGGAAATGTCCGACAGAGCTAAAATGGATGCAAACAAACTCGAAGTGGCGAAGAGAGATGTCGTCTCGGTTCTGAAAATGTTGGTGGTCGATATAAACGGCAGTCCGACCACTGCTTTCAATTTTTTCGTGTGGCGACCTACCGAATCGCATTTTCAAATTTTAAGAGAGGGGGCTTGCGTCAAAGCTTACAATGTAATACCAAGGTAGGAAACAGTCTCTCAAAAATAAGTAACATTTAAATCTTTGACTGGTATTGAAAAAAAATGGATTTCACAAAGTAATGGTAAACTCATGCACAACTCATTTTAACATAATATTAAGAATGAGGGGCGATGATTGGTTGTTTTCAGATATCAATTCTGAACTAACCAATCACTTTCTCTAATGGTCGAATGGACTAGTAGTGAATAATTGGTATTCAATTACTTTACTCCATCATTACGGATCTGAATTAATTTTTGCAACATTTCTTGTGCCTTTTTGATGTAAATAATGTGTCTATGTGTTGTTCGAAGTTGTTGAATTCCGTTGGCCATTTGGCCATGTTCTTCGATACCTCCGATATATCGTGTGATGTCAGTTCTTATGCTGTTTCATTATTGTTCAGATAATCTTCCATTCCCACTCATGATGCACGGTTGTCAAGCCACCATTTATAATCGAGTTATTCAAAAGTTGTTAGAGCCCGTTGCCCAGTCGATAAATAAAACTATATCCAAATTAAATATTTCATTTCACCTAACAGGAGGAAACCATGATATTACAGTTATCAATTTGTGACTGTACTCGATTATAATTGAATCGGTGATTGTATAAAGGGAAATTGAAAAAACCTTTTATTACACAAACGGTAGGTCAAACTTCAAAATGCAGTACAGATTAAATGTAGGGACAAGCATCTCAAATACAATGAGGTATAACATCTTAAAGAGCTGAGATGGAACATAAAAGTGACAGGTGATTTTTTAACAGCTGGATAGAAGGTAATAAAACAATGATGCAGAACATAGGAACAGTTTTTAATGTGAACTGTAGGCCATCAAAACATATTTTAATAACAACTTATACATTATTTTTATTCAGAATCGTACTCCAAGGCAGTAGTGGGCCAAGTTTCAAATTGAGAGTAGAAGGGCTGATGTTCGTCAGGAATATACTTGACGATTTTTTCGACATCTTCTATTTTCTTTGCCTTAATCGGCACCTTTTGTGTGTAGGCTCAATCATTAGGTAACTGTGGTGTTTTTGCTAGGTAATATTTAGATTTTACGAACCCATCTATGTAATCTTTTGCAATGGCGTAACCAGGTGTAGAACTGTTATAAATAAAGTGTTTGTACGTAGAAATGCTGAATTTCTGGCGATTTTCCCCTGCTCCCCCCTTCCTAGTAATGGTTTCTGTACAAGTTTTTTTGAAATATTTAGGTGACCAACTCTTGCAGTCCAGTATATCTTCGGTTTTTACATACTTCACGTCGCACGCTTCCGTTCAAAACATGATATTTGAAATTACCTCGACGATTCTGCTTTGGTTCCAGATATTTTGGCCTACGTCTTTTAATATCTTCAACATCCACAAGACCCATCAAAAAAGTATCTTGTTCCTTTTTGGGCTTACCACCGTGAAGCGATTTCTTAAATCAATGGAATCCTTACCTGCAGTGCGGCCCTGTTTGTTTTGCAGCTCTTTCGGTTCCTTTTTGACTTGTATACTTTTCCCCAAATAATGTTGCTTGAATCCGAACATTATTATTATACTTTTCAATGTTTCGAACACCTTTTTTTCGTTCACATTGTGGTTCTTCACTATTTCTGTTGGAATCTGACATATTCTTATCTATTTTATTACAATATACTACGTAGTTTCAAGTAAAACAACAAAATAATGTTCACATTGAGTGTATGAAGGAAACAAGTAGTGGATTTATCTCCTTTATACACTCAACAAAAATATTGTGACGCTTTGATTTTCATATAGTAAATCGGATTTGTCTCCGTTATAGACTCAACTGTGCACTGACTTATCTGAAATATGTATATATCACTTTATTTTGACCAAAAAGTGGAGTTGTTTCCTTTATACAATAACCGATTCAATTGCGAAATATCATTTGATCATTCACATCATGAGTTGAATGAGGTTGTCCTCTTTTTTGACAGTTTTGTACGATACATATTGTATGTAACACGTGCGTTAAGGAATTGCCGCAATCCGCCTTCGGCCTGATGAGTCAACATTTCCTACTCGTTAAAAAAGTACCACTTAATACACTTGTTACTTGAATAACTATTTCTTAATAGGTGTATAATGGGTGTGAGAGGTGTTATCCTAGAATTCACTCCATAATTTGTTTCATTTTTTCCAGGATGAATGGAGACCTGACCGCTGGTAAAAAAACTTTATTCAGATGTGAAAATGGAAAAGATCAGATGAGTGACATTTTCAAACGGAAAGTAATCGAAATATCTGAGATTTCTGACATGAGGTTTTCCTCAAATTTCAGTGAATTTGACACTGTTGGTTTGGTGGTCGGGATGAAAATTGAAGAGAACCATCAAGAAATATGGTTATCGGATGTTACTGGGAGGTAATGTGTTTTTCAGCTTCATGACTTTCATACAGGGTGACAATGAAATCAGGGCGATGCCTAAACTCATTCATTTATGAGCTTTGCAGAAACATAATGGGGAAGTTTCCTCCTGCTGAATTTTCATCTTATTAGTTTTACACTGATTGGATTCATGGCCATTGAAATTATTCAAATCATATCTGTTCTTGAGAGCGATTAGAAACACAATCAACAAATGAATTAATAAATACAATGAAAACAGCGCATATATTCTAGACCATGAATAAATATTATATAACCAAATACAATGAGAACATAACCTCAATAAAAACGCAGCTCTCTGAGATGTTTTTCAGTAAAGTTTGGTTAAATATGGTTTCTGGTAAAAATGTGGGCGCGGTATCTTCGATTCAATGGAAATAATCGACTCAGAATTCATTTTCGACTCAGCAATCTTTCAAGTAAGAGTTTCATTCTATCAATTTCAAGATTCAACGTTGAGTACCTATTGAAATAATTCTGGATATTATTAAAATATTACGTTTCCTCATTTCATCACTCATCTTCATCTGGGAAAGTCAATATTTTCGTGAATAATTTGTTTCATTCTTGACTAATCAGGAAATCAGGATTACAAAAAAATATCATTCTCCCTATGTGAGTACCTAGCCAATATTGTTGGTTGTTAAGTCAGAATTTCTCTATACCCAAACGTGTTTAAGTTTTAGGTCTGTATGAACTTGGCAGTTGTCATCAGAAGGGTGAGGGAGTCAGAACTAGTTTGATTTCTTTTTCGAAGTAAAATCTGATCCTATAGAACAAATAAAAAACACCTATACAATGTAAAGACTTCACAAACGATATGATTTCCACAAAATTCTTAAACACACACGACATGTTTTGCTAACACAGTAGCTTCGTCAGGTGATATACTATACAATGAACTAAACCAACCTTGGCTTGCTTAACTTTTATATATCCTACTTTCCCAACTTGAGGGAATAGTTACCTGTGGACAGGTTGGATGAACCTTCATTTTCGGAAATTAGGCACAATATCTACATTAAAATACGGTGTACCGGATTAACTAGAAAGGATTGATAGCAAATACATATATTATTACCTACTAAGAAAACAAATTGAACAGTGGTGAACTATTGAGGTCTAATTGATCGTTAAGTAAAATCTAAAAGTTTTACAGTTTGTTGATTTCTAATGATTCAAAATGATTGAGTTTCATTCCTTCATTTTGTACGTGTTGAATTTCGAAATTATCATAAAAACTATGGATTTCTTCTAATATATGGTTAGCGTATGTTGAATTCGTTTTCTTTTTCAAAATTTCATCTTATGTTCATGAATGCTCTGATTAAACGTGCAACCTGTCTGACCGATATACCGGGTGGCTACGGAAGTATTGCCTACGGAATATCTCAGTTATTGTATGAAGTAGGTTTGTGAAATTCGGCGCGTCGATATAATGACATAAGAGCTAGGATTTGAGCATATTGACATGTCGAAGTTAACTTCCGGTCTGACCGGCAGTTACATCAACTTTCTTATTTTGAATGGAAACCCTATTTTTTTTTTATTTTCGCTTTATTCAGCATTCAATTCCCTTTCTAATGACATATCACAAGTTGGTATCTAACCAGAAACTAATCAGAAAAAAATTATTATTGAAATTCACCGAGTAGGCCGTGGAAGCAAAATGAAAGCCAAAAAATGACTTTCTATTGTATCATCAGAAAGGAATGGTTAAGCTGAATAGTACAGGCAAGAAAAAGTTGTAACCTTCCCAACGTATGTTATTTGTTCTATTTATGCTACTTTTAAGTCCTGTTTATGTAGAAATGAAGCTAATTTTTCGTTATCGATTGTGAAGTTTTTACATTTGCCATGGATTTCCATCAAGTAACGGCTTAACCTATACATTGATTTTTCATGAACTTCATGGAGAAATAAAAATCTGAATAATGGACGCTTCCCCATTGAGAGAGACCGCTCTTGATGTTACAATAATTGTTAACTTATTTGAGTTTTTCCTGTACTCAGTATTCAGAATTTGTAGACTTCATTGACAAACCGGCCTTTTTTCAAACCTGCTCGAATTTTCAGGCTTCTTTTAGTTGAAATTTTTGAAGGACCAAGTACCTGCCTTTTACTGGATAAACTGAAGAGAGGTCAGCCTACGAGCGTTTGTAATTTAACCTACAAAGGTTCAAAACAAGAATTCGCAAGAGCCTCTGCCAATCATTTTTCTATTTTCTCCTCGTATTCGCAATTCAGACACTTACAAGAGGGTCTGGAGGAGTTTCAAAAACTGTTGCCAAAAGTATGTTGATGAGTTTGATTGTTTTTCTGTATGATCAACCTATTTTTTTTCAGGACTGTGATGAGTTACAACAAGATTGTGATAAAAAAATTAAGAGTTTCAATATGTCCCCAAATACTTCTGAAATTGTATTGACTTCGTATATGGAAGACTGTGATGAAGATGTATTAGTACCTTCTAGAATTACGAGTACCGATATAGCCTTGTCACTATTGGACATTGATAAACTTAGTTAAAGCTCTAAGATCTATATTTTTGTACTTATCTGATATGTAAATAGTAAATAGCGTTCTTTTTCTCTGAATAAATTTTTATTTTGTTTCTAATGTTTTCTTTATTACCATCTTCAAGGTAGAAAAAGAAAGAAAATTTATCAAAACTCTAGAGGGCGATTTGAACTGAACCTCTATAACAAATTTGGGCGAGTGGACTAATATCGCATTATTGACATTCAGTTACTCCACTCACGCTTTTTTCATGTAGATGATGAGTCTATGCGTTTGTTCGAAATTGTTGAATTTCAGAAACGTACCGTCATGGCCGCCATACGGCGATACGTGGAATAAATGATGACGTTAGTTTTTATGCTGTTTCGTTATTGGTCAGATAATCTTACATTTCCACTCATGAAGCAAAGGGTTGCCACGTCACCAATTATAATCAAGTTATCAAAGAGATGTTAGAGTCCTATCGTTGAATAAAACATAACCCATATATAGTTTCCCAATAAACCATTTTGTGTTTCTGAAACGTTCCTGAAACAAACTTTGTGAAATATGAAACATTTCACCTATATAGGTACACCGAAACATTTATGAGACATTCTAGAGACCATAAATGACCTAGGGTGTGTAATGTTTCATTGGAATGTTTCAACCCAAATCTCCATGAAACATTCAATAAAGAGCAGTATATACATAAACATCTCTGAGATATTTCACTATTGCATTTCTTGAAACGTTTCACAAATAGTGTCTTCGAAACATTTCCTTATTGCACAATTTGCAACATTTCCAACATGACTTTTTTGAAACATTTCCGATACATCTCACTTTTGCTGATAATGAAACATTTCAAATATGAAACATTTTTAGTTCATACCAAGACTACATTACCACAGAAGTGAATCACTTACTCATAATGAAAGTGAACCCTAATTATCATCATGTGTAATATGTAGTCAATTGGTATTAATAATAATATAAACTGCAGCTTTATAGTGGATTTTATATTATGAAAACTTATTAAAATAAAAAACCATTTCATTTCATATTTTCCACTTCTCTAGCTAACCTGAGACCAGATTGGCGGAACCAGGCTGCTATACATATCTTTCGAACTCCACGTCCGTCACAGCAAACCTTTTTCTGACAGCACCTGAAAAAATTTTGAGATTTATTTGATCCACTCACCCACTCACCTTTTTCATAGTCGTAGTTGTCATTATTAACTTTTAACATCAGCACTACCACCATCAGGCAATATCAATGGACGCTTTAAATGGCTTCACCGGAATTAGAACAACAAAAGAAAGAATGGCTTCGTCTTTGTGTTCACCCACTCGCTTCTCGGACTGGACAGTCGGAGCAAGTCGGAGCCGGCCGTGCTTGGTTCGGACTGTCATATGCCGATGTTGCCAGAGTAACCACCCGTCTTCATTGGTCACACTCAAGCATGTGATTCATTATAGCCAATAAAACGGAATCATGAACCTGGCAACGTCGAATATGATGCATTTCAAACAAATAGTAAACACATGTATTGAAACATTCCAGAGATGTTTCACGTCACGCATAACAACTGAGAAATATTTCACATACGGAAACATGGGGAATGTTTCAGATGACACGTCTAGAGATTCACGTGAGACATTTCAAGTAGAGAATTTTTGTAACGAATATGAAACGTATGTAGTGACACATTTCTGAAATATTTCACATAGCATGGAGAGCTTCAGAAATTTTTCCTTTATATGTTATAATTGAAATGTTTCAGATGACGCGTCTAGAGATTCACGTGAGACATTTCAAGCAGAGATTTATTGTAACGAATATGGAACGTATGTAGTGACAAATTTCTGAAATATGTCACATAGCATGGAGAGCTTCAGAAATTTTTCCTTTATGTTAACATTTAAATGTTTCAGATGACGCGCCTAGAGATTCACGTGAGAACATTTCAAGCAGAGATTTTTCGTAACTAATGTGAAACGTATGTATTGACATATTCCTGAAATATTTCACATAGCATGGAGAGCTTCAGAAATGTTTTCTTCATGTTAACATTGGAATGTTTCAGATGACACATCTAGAGATTCACGTGAGACATATCCAAGCAACGAGTTTTTGTAACGAATATGAGACGTATGTATTGACATATTTCTGAAATATTTCACATAGTATGGAGAACTCTAGAAATGTTTCCTTTATGTTAACTTTGGAATGTTTCAGATGACACGTATTAGGGAACTTTTGAAATGTTTCTGAAACGTGTCGTGTTTACTGGGTTATTATGTTGACTTTTTAGATCAACCAGCATCTTCAAATATTTCTTATACTTCATAACAAAATATGTTAATGTTGGAGACTTGGCAACATCGTGCTGAATGCTGAGAACAGTGAGAACTGACAAGACCACGCCCACAAGTCGTGCGCCGTGTTGTCACGATGTGATGTGCTACTGTTTCTGGTTCCTTGCCACATAGTCTGCAGCTTGGGTCGCCATTGTACAGTCCCATTCTGGCGAGATGCTCCTTTACTGGCGCATGGCCAGTCATGAGTCCCGTAACAGTTTTTATCTGTGCTCTGTTCAAGTTGAGCAGGTCTACAGTTCGTTTATGACTTGGTTCCTTCATGTATTGTTTCCCATGTCTGTTTCTTGGGATGTTTTCCCAGTAGCTCTTATATGTTTTGCCTGAATCCAGTCTTTAACTGACACTCGTGCTGTACGTTTTTGGTACCTACTCCAAGAGTCTGTCCTGGATCTGGCTCGTTGTCCGACCCTCTTCTTGCAAGTTCGTCAGCCATCTCATTGCCAGCGATCCCCTGATGACCTGGCACCCAGATTAGCTTGACGCAGGTCCGGTCTGCTAGAGTTCTCAGTTCCCTCTGGCAATCCCATACCAGTGGAGATGTCACTTCCTGGCTTTCTATCGCCTTAAGTGCCGCTTGACTGTCTAATTAAAATGATACGGATCTGCTCGTTTTCCACAGCTCTCCTGTTATTTTCTTCCGCACATTGGAGAATTGCGTACACCTCTGCTTGGAAAACTGAGGCATACTTCCCCAATGAGTAGCTGAGGCTAGTTTTGCGGATGTTTGGAGTATACTCCTGCTCCTGACCCATTCGCAGTCGTCTTGGAGTCCCTGCAGTATGGTGCTGAGTTCTCCGTCATTCCATCCAGATCTGTCTGGTATGGACACTCTGAATGAAGTGTCAAATATATATATCGTTTCAAAATGTGATCTGTTCTCATATTAAGTATGTCCCTGTTCACTAGTCTGATGATGCTCATATATGTCCTGTTTCTATGTTAACATATGGCCCAGTGTATTTTGCAGCCTTAGGGCACCAAGTCTCGCCTCTCCCTGTTCCATCAAGTGGAGGGGAGGCAGATCCAGTAGTGTTTCCATGGCTGCGGTTGGCGTTGACATAATATATGCAGGATGATAACTTTTATGAGTACCAGAGGCAGACTCTCGCACATTGGTGTTAATTCAGGATACATTTGGTTGAATTTTCTGCTAGTTCTGGCAATGATTTGATCACATTGTCCGTGTATAATAAATGACTTCATAAGAACATCGTCTGAATAATCGATATTTGCGTTCATTCTGGGAGATTTTTTGAAACACTGTCAATAAGAATTACTGAATTACTCATTACTAAAGTTCAATTAGGGATATGTTTTGGATCATATTTAACACAAATTATTTTTTATCTCGAAAACCGATAGAGATAGGTATAGGGATTTATCAACAGAAGAGTATTGTATTGAAAATACAATTCTTAAAACTCATTGATATGATATATCTATTTGAGAAAATGAAGTTGCTAGGACTTTTTGATTGAAACGGCATCAACGTCGCAATTTCGAGAATATTTTAGATCGATAGAACAGGTAATAAAATGTAAGATGCAAAATTTTCAAGAAAACCTGCGTTGCGTTCTCCATAAACGTCTAACCTACCATTCACCGTGAGTTACCCTATATATCAACACAAGAGAAGGAAATCGACAACGAATCCGAACGTGAGAAATTTACTCCAAAACCAAGTAGTGAAGGCAAATCCCAATCATATTTTGTTTGATATAAATACCTTCAATGAAAAATAACATATCTTGAAAAAAATGGTCTAAAGTAGGTAAATATGATCTTTCAAATTTTGGTGAAGGTGCTTATTTTGAGTTTCTCAATCATACAGAATAACTTTTTGGGTAGAACGATTATAAGCCCATCAATATAGAAGAATGCAAATTTTTGGTCCACGCTATAGTGGCAGCTTTGAGAGAGCAGTGTACTTTGTAGTTAATGAACAGTCTTACAAACTCAAAGTGGTCAATTATTCTGTTCCTCAAAATTTTGGCGAAGGCACCGACTATATATTCTTTCGAGGGTATGGCAACAATGGCAACATGGAAACAGCGACAAGAAACACTCCAAAACCAAAATTCTTCTGTAACCATGTGGCCATGCACCCACATAAATTACTAACTAGACTGCTAATGTCATCACCGAAGAATAATCTAGGACTCATCATTGATGACTGTCAATGTAACAATATAACTTGTGACTTGTTTTATACCTTGTATGGTCTACAAAATGAATAAAGTTGAGTTGAGTTGAGTTGAAAAATTAAGATTCGTAGAACATGTCAAGACATTAAATACAGCGCTCATATATGCACGATTAGGATCGTTGTTTGCGAATAAGAGCATCATCAGTTAAAATCTGAGAAAACAGTTATGTGAGTGTCTCTTATTGTCAATTTTCCAGCATTGTAACATCGTTTATTTTCTTTGTTTACAACAAAGAACCATCCCAGGCAACCAGATGACGTTCCAGTGACGTCTTTTTTTCGTCACTTGAATGACCAAGGTGACGTCAGTAGTTGACGCATTGACGTGATAATGACGTGAATAAGTCACAGCCCAATGACGTCATATTACTCACGTCGTATTGACGTCATTCACTCACCAAACTGTGACGTACGACTAACGTCATAATGACGTCAAAATGACGTCAAAATGACGATTGAATTTGGCGATGATACGTGAAAAAGATTCCTTTAACATGGTGTGATTAACACCACTAGCCTCTGATGAA